CACAGAGCGCTGGAACGACGTCTTCTGAAGTACAACCGACGCACTCAACATCTCGTCGGACCTCGCAGTTCAGACATGAGATCAATGTCTCGTCTTCACGATCCAGCGGATTACGTCTCTAAGGGAAAGCATCGATGGGCTGGTCATATAAGAGGACAGAGGAAAGATGGGCACTAAGAACTCTGGAGTGGATTCCTCGCAAAGCAAAACGTCCTCGAGGAAGGCCACCAACCAGATGGGCTGACGTGTTCGTTACACGGATGGACCAGCGAATTCTCAGCTGGTAACGAGTAATGGATCTGAAGCTCGCGAACGTCGCCGCCGCACTTCAATACCACCATTGTGGATGACGCTAGCGAGAGACAGAAACGGATGGAAACTGCTGTGGCCTGCACGACAAGTGAAGACAGGCCATCTAAGTATTTGATTAAGTAAAGCTTTCATGACTACTTCTAAAAAGGTACCTAGCAGATTTATAGCCAGCGCTTCTAAGCGCATCTGTTGTTATGCGTACTATCTATTATAGATGGTTATTCAAATGATTCACAATTCCTTGTTAGCTCCGAATGTCGAATGACCGAATGTCCGACGACGAATGACGAATGACCGAATGTCCGCTCCTTAATTAAATATACTCTCATCCTGATGTTCTGGAATACTATATTGTGCAATTCGTATGGTGAGAAATTCCCAAACAGCACAAACGGCAAACCGCCCCAGAGGATTCTTTACTTTCCAAATTTTGAGGGATTTTGAGAGAGTTGAAAGATCTACAGGCCTCATTTCTGAGCGTTTCACTTCGTTCGCCAGTTTGATCTACAAATTCAGTCTTAAGAGCCCCTGGCACTCCATCTTTTTCGACTTCATAAACAGCGCCAAAACCTCCAGAACCAATTTTTCGAGTAACCTGCAATTTCATGCTAGCTCTGAAGACGTATTCAAGAAAAGGTGAGAGGTTGTACCTTCCAATCGCAAATAATGGCGTCTCGCGTAATTTCGGGTTTGGGAACTGATGACGATGTCGACATTGCTTGCTCTCGTGATTAGCGAAATGCCTTCTCAGCACTAACCTTCCACTGGAGC